CGATATTTCACAGTTCAAAATGGCCGATTCCACTGTTGCCCGTCCTCCTCCCAGCGCCATTTCCCGGCCGCTTAGCGAGTCACTTCTTAACGAGAAGGTAATCACGAGACCCGGATATGTCAAGAGCTTTCGTTACAAACTTCAGTACTGATCAATTCCAGTGGGACCGCTGCCTCTCCAACCTTCTCGTCAAGTCCTCCCTCGGTCTCGGTTTCGGTGTCGTCTTCTCTGTCCTTCTATTCAAGCGAAGAGCATGGCCTGCATTCGTTGGTGTCGGCTTTGGTGCTGGCCGTGCCTACGAGGAGTGCAACTTCAGCCTGAAGCAGGCTGCGCGAGAACTCAAGAAGCAGTCCGCATAAGGTATTACAGTGGTGGGCGCCAATAAAGAGAGACGAGCCGTTTATTTTGTACCAGCAACAAACACACCAGAAAATGGCGATGTGTTAAGGGATGACACAGGGAACTTTGCCGCGGGCTTCACGGAGAGCCAAAGTCAGAGTAGGATGGTTTTTTTAAGATTCAGTAGAGGTATCATGTACAACAACCTGCCATTCCTGACCTTTCACCAGTCTTCTCCCTCATTGTCCCTGTAGTCTACAGCAAGGGGCTGTCCCACTGTTGCGCCTCCTCATATGTTGCTGCGTTCACTGTTGGTCGAATCTGCCTTCTCTGTGTCCCCATTGCGTCCTCCTCCCTTCCTGTTGCGGACAGCGGAGAGTCCAGGTACTCATAGCAGCTCTCACAGTCTGTGACTAATTCTGAGCTATTCGTGGAGAAACTCAGTAACTGGTCAATGCTAAATCTTCGTGCTCCGCTTGTGTTTGTGTTTTCCAGCCGGCTCCTTGAGGGGATTGTAAGTAGGGATAGGTTGCGTTTTAGGTTGATCAGCTCCAAGCGGAGCTCTTCGGCCAAAGACTGGCTTCGCCTTCGGACACTCTTGATGAATGAAGCTTCGTGGTCATGGTATGTTCCATCTCCTTGATCTGCCTGGTGCAACGTATTCCAGTGCGTCTCACGCTGTCCGTTCTTAGCATCTCGAGTCCCTCGAGGTGTTCTGTAGCCAGCGCCAATGACGATGAAGACAGCGAGGAGCAAGACGAGTACGAAGACCACGATAGCGATGAGTATGATTTCCAACCTAGCCGAGTCGACAGATCGCTTAGCGTCGGGCATCCTCCTTCCCAGCTCAAGCAGCTGGAGTCGCGCAATGCTGGCTACACGGCAGACGATCCGGTTCCAGGCCGTACGGATCCGGGCGGAACTGACGGCTCGATGAAGGTAGGGTTAAGCGAAGAGGAGGTTATCTTTGCTTTCGATCGTTTTAGTGATGCACAGGAATTTGGGTGCAGAGTACAATGGGTGGAGTGCATAGGAAGGTAGGTTAATTAATAGGAGCAGGAGAATCGTGGAGATTTGATATCCTTTCAACATACCTAAGCATACTCATAATGGTGATTTAATTCAAGCATTAAGTTACATTCTTAAGATATTAGACAAGGCCTCAGAAGAGTCGGCAGGTCGCACTTACAGTCGTACCTTCCATCATTAGATCCCTAGGAATAACTGTCCGGGAAGTCACGACCTCCGAGCGTACGAACCTATACACAACATAAGCAGTTTTTTTTTCTCCAAATCAGCTCCAACAAAACAAACTCCTCCGTAACTCAATAGCCTGCAGTCATTGACACACCGTTCTTCTGAGCATTATTATAATGAACGATAAGCAATCAGTATGTCTCATATGCTGCTTTACGGTTACAGAACTTGTGCATAGGCATTGACAGCAAGCTCTAGTAACCAAACCTCTTTCTTGTACAGAATATGAACTGATTCTCTCAGAAACATCCGATGTGCCTTTACACCAGTGTTACCGCGCTCGTACGATCAACATCCTCAGTGTCGAACTATTTACCTTAATCCTCCGCCACAGTGGCATTCAGAGCTCTATTCGTCGCGGCATATTCCACTGTTCTCTCTTCTCGCATCCCGAGTTATACTGTTGAGATACACCATAGTATGATGTTGGTTTGTGCAAGCCCTGTCAGAGCACACAGCGTGGTTTGCTAGTACGCACAATGTGCACAAGAAGAATGGCTGGAGGCAACGGTACCGTGCAATTGATCATCTATGAAAGCAAATAAAGCAAGATACAGAAAGGAAGGATCCTGACCACCGCCCCAGTCTTCAATATCTCTCCATCAATCTGGCCGTCACTCCGCTCCCTTCGTATACTCCTTATTAAACCATCGCGGTTCCTCCTCTACGCTATGGGTTGCAGTATAGTACCCAATGCATAGCGGATGGATAGGATTACTTTCCCTGACCTGTGGATATGTGTTAGCAATATGCCCAATCAGAGGAACACTGATTCTGCAGCAGCAAGTGTTCGCTGCAGCGATACCATGACACGGCGGAAGACGTTCAACCACATAATATGTGAGCCATTATCCAGGACACTGCAGGACACTGCAGGACACACAAGAGAAAGCAACAAGAATTCTTCAACATACCTGGGTCCCTGGGCCAGGGGTTGGGAGGTGGAGGGGGGGGTGGAGGTGTCCTCCCAAAGTTGACGCAAACAACGTGTTCGGTAGAAACAGCCATGGTTGCTTTGATGAGGTTTGTTGGAAGAAACTGTTGAAGGGGCTTTTATCTTGAGTTGCGAGAACTTGCGGGAAGTGAATGCAGAAGCCAAGTTTGTTTACAGTTGTGCAAAGTGTCTTGATGAGTTAAGAAGAGAAAAGCAATCCACGGGATGAGTCCAGGTTCTTATACATGACTTATGTTGGACAAACCCATTGCCTCCATGATTAGCTTGTCAAAAGATTTGCAAGAATAAGAGTCTTCCTGACGAAGTATCAGAGAGAACCTTGGGGCGCCACAAGCTGTACAACTCCCGAAATGAGGCGATCTGTTGTTGCTCAAGGTTATTCCTTTGAGCCATGTTGTCGTCAGCTTTTCACTTCGACTAGATTCGCCGAATGCAAGTTACCGCTTGCTTAACCTCTAAGAAAAGAAGACAAAACAAAGCCGTACTGTAAGTTGACGTTTCGTTGCCTATTGTGGAAACAGCTGTTGTTGGACAAGACACGGTTCAGGAGTCAAATACATCTGAATATGGATCCTATGTGTTTACTGACGCGAACTGTAGGGCAGCGATGCCGTTTCAAGAGCAGTGAAACGGCTTCGATGTCCAGTTATAGATTCGTATTCCTGTTCAAGTTGGCTGAATCTCGTGTTCACGAGCTGCCATCATGGCATAACCGAGTCGACCCTAAACTGGAACAACTCGATCTCAATTTGAAGTTTGGCGATGTCCTCAGACTAATGTCATTCCGCAGGCATAGTTCGACTCTGTCCAACCATATGTCGAGTTCTCTTGCTTCGTCAATGGGTTTACGTTGCGCAAACCATGTAACGCTCGCGGCACAAAGAGATGGATTCTGTGCGCAGGGGCTTGGCCATCAACCTTCGCTTTGAAGAGAGTGTAGGTACAAGGGTAACGTGGAGGTTGTATAGGAACCGTTGAGACAGGATTAAGAATGTCATTAAGAATGATTGGTCCCATGGGGCTGGGTCAGCGTTGAGAATGCTTACAGCCGTTTGGACAGTGACGGATAGCTACAGTTATGGAGCTTAAGCTCCCGAGTGATTTACATCCAGCCTCGTAAACAATGCGTATCTTGTGGCCAGTCGGAGAGCTTTTTTGAGGTGTGTATTCTCTAGTGAACCATCCCGGCTGAAGATAGTCTTAGTTAGGCAAGGTGCATACAGACACAACATCAAGTAGCTGACGCTAAAAGCAGCGAGGCACAGGAGACACAAAGAAGCATCACCAATGTCGTGACTCTGGGTTTAACAAGTGCCTGGTATTGATCCTTCAAGGCGCAGGATCTTCGACACACAATACACGAAGGTCCTATACCAGTCTTGTTTGAGATTATGCATTTGCTATGTGGCGGTAAGAGTTTAGTTGATAGATAGATAAATAAATAATGGACGTATCGGAGCTTCTGCCGGGTCGGCGAGACAATTAAAACATGTCTCTCGACGCAGTATGACAGCAAAAGATGACCCTGTCACTCTTGCACTGAATATGACCGACTCCGAGTGTAAAAGACATCGAGGCCGGTTGATTTTATCGTGCGTAGAAAAAGTGTAAAGAGGAGAAAAGAAAAGTCAACAGCGATTTCACGGCTGCGACAAGGTATAGCTTAGCTCCAACACAGGCTTGTCTCGTGTCACGTGCAGTGTGGATCTGTGTCCCCTGCCACGACCTACCTCTTTAAAAACTCTGCTCCTCTCGTTATAAATTTCTCAATCCAATCCAAACTTCTACAACAACGCCTCTTGGCCTCAGCTTCGCCTCTCCGAGGTTCCAAGGCAACTTTTGCCATTTCCGATGTGACATCCTCGGCTTCAATTTCTCTTGCTTTCACCTACGGGCAACGCCGATGAAGCGCCCGTTCTGTGTTCAGCTCTCAAGTCTCAATTTCGGACTTCACATTTATGCAAATGCAGTCCTCCCCGAAAGCTGTTGAACGCCATAATGACGATGCACTGCTCTGAGAAATAGAGTATAACAGGGTGTCCGCGTTTGACATCTTGTTTTTCGAGGCTGGTTTGGTGTGACGATGTCTCAGTGCTGCTACTGCTCATGCTTTGCTTTACGACTTACCTACTTCTACAGTATTTCCTTTCAATGTTCTTCAAGCCCGCTCAGCGGCACCCACGAATTGCCTACACCTCGCGCTTTCAATGCGCATGTGTGTCAACTTTATTTTTATCGTTCGTAGTGGGAGATTAAAACCACGGTCTAGACAACCGGTCCGCTCCACCCTGATACCATAGAAGCAGTGTGGCATCAGGACTAAAATCGGGCAAACATATCTGAACTTGACCTATTCAACGTGAATGAATGTCTTGTATCTTCACATGTTTTTGAGTGACGAGTGACTCGAGGCAGGGCATCGGACGCTGCACGAGCTATCAGCGTTACACGTAATGTCTTGCCCGTCGTCAAGAATAATGTTGGCTCATGTCATGCTGAGCATACTGATGCTACCATAAGCTTTGAACGAAAACATGCTCTCTCTCAAGCTCACTTTGAGACACTCCTGTTACTCTGTACATGCACGCATATAGCTCTTTCAGCCTTGTGTGCCGCCTGCGTGTTCCCTCGGTCATATCATTCAAGAAATCTAATGCTCCGTACAAGGTGTTCGTGTCCCATTAACCGTTATACCAAGCAAAGCCTCGCATGCGCCATGTCTCCCAAGCAAACGTTGATCACCATATTTCGCCCTTCTATCAGCACATGTCTCGGACAAATAGCTCTCACTCAGACAAGGTCCTCGAAAATGCTTCTCTCGTCCTGGAACGATATGAGAAACCTAGCCACGAGGCGCCCCGTGTACAATGTCTGCGGATCCATAGGGAACGGATGAGTCGACGTGTTGGGTATCATGTCGGTGGCTGCTAGAAACTGCAACTCTTGCCCTAAAGTGAAACAGACAATAGTTAGCTTTTGTGACCCTTTCCAGAACAATAATTGTCAGCCCGTTAGCAAGGTCTGAGGTCGCACTTACAGCTGTCGCCGAACAATAGTTCTCGCAGTTGAGCCGAGAACTTCACAGCCGGTCCGTCTAGTTCGCCCTTTTCGGCAAAGCTGCTGTCAAGCACGGGGTTGAAACCTTTTGAGTTGGCCTCCTTGCTGTGCGTCTGATAGACTTGGTGGAACTGGTAAGCGAATTGCTTGAAAGGCATGTTCTCGACCTCGGCACAGGTATTCAGCGCAAGGCTTCTTTCGTACTCCGGTCTAGCGCTGTGCCTCATGTTGATTTCGTTCTGCGCGAGCACAAACGTGTCAGCTGCCGTCTCTACAGCCTCCATGAAGAGGCAGAGGACGAGAAAGGCGGCGGTGCAGGGTGCCCACTCGCGTCGGGACTTCGGCTTGAGAGATCGGTTGAAGAGCTCGAATAGTGATTGTACCTCACGATGCATCAGCTCGTCTACGATGGACTTGATCTGTCGTGCGAGGACTCGGGGGGTGACATAATTGGGGCCCTGCTCGATCATACCGACGGATCGAAGGGAGTCGGTGGTCTGTTGAGTGAGGCAGAGCTGTCTTGTCATGATGTAATGCATACAGTAGATCGACAAGGCACGCTTGACCATGAGGGACTATAGTATGACTGTCAGTTCGGTTAATGATACGTCTCGTAAGGTTTCACTTACCTCAGTCTCGTCAGCATACTCCTTGACGATCCGCAGCAGTTTCGCCGGCAGATATGTGCTTGTGATGCTATCTGTGACTTGGGCGACAAATTCTGGCTCGTTCAGAAGGTCTTGGATGTATCTTTTGGTTCGTTTCCTGAGGTTATCCCTCTCCGCGGACTTGTCAAGGTCGATACCAAGGTTGGCTGCCTTGTTGGCCCTCAGCTCAACCTTATTCTGTCCCAAGTTATGTAGCTGCCAATGATTCTCGACCTCGGCGTTGGTTGGGGTGAAGAATTTGGCTTGTATGGCCAAAACCGTGCTGAATCGCGGTCCCGAGAATAGTTTGACAGAGCACACCTGCTCAACCCCCTGAATATGGAACCCAGCGATGTTCTCCTTGGTGAACTTGGCCATCTCTTTGCTTTCCAGATGACCACGAATGTATACGGGAAACAGAATGGTTACGAAGTCGCTGAACTGCCAGCAGACAACTTGAGGAACTTGAACCATTAGTTTCTTGCAGCTCTTGCAAGGACGTTCAAGGTCGCATTTGACCTTGCGACTGTGACAGCAGAAACAAGCACCCTGTCTTCTAACTTGCAGCGCATTCTCCTTGGTAGCATTTGCCAAAGGTCCTTTACGTCCTCGTTGACTTGTCCGGTTCATAGCCTCGAAGCACTCGAACGGGTTTTCGCGACCAGCATGGGCTGAGATGGAGTTAGGAGTCACAATGACAAACTTGCCAGACTGTTCTGCCTTCTTCTTCTTCTCGACCTTTCCGACCTTCACCTTTCGAATCGGTATCGATATTGGAGACTTGCTTCCGCTGGGGCTTGCTTTCGAACTGTTCATCGAGCTCGGAGAGTAGTTGCTCACGGGTGACGGAGAGTTGTTGAAGTCATCCATGATGAAGATCGCATCATTACCCCTCGTATTCGTAGGGTTCCATGGCGGAACGTTAGGGTCCGACTGTAGAGGCTGCTGCATGTTAAAATTGACTTGGGGTACCTGAACTTGTTCGTTCGAGTCTATCGAGAACATGTCGGCTGTGAAATTTTGCATGAGAGTCATGTCTGCAGCAGCATCAGTACCCTGCCCTTGAGGGGAGGCCGTCCTCCGCTTCAGCATACCATTCAAGCCTTGAGGTTGGAATTGGTTCGGATTTTGCTGTGAGAAGAGATACTGCTGCGGGGTCAAGAAGTCTTGCGGTTGAGTGAATCCACCATCTGTTGTGGTAGCAAATATGTCCGTGTTGGTATTGCTTGCTTGAGGCTGAAATGAAGAGGCATTGGCGGCAAAGAATGCACTTGGATCCATCTCTTCTAGTAACAGGGGAGAAGCAGCTGTTGGCGAAGGTGTGTTTCCAAGCATGAAGGGCGATGAGTTGTTCGCAGAGGTATATGGTGGAGGAGTGTTGCCGGCAGCATAGGGTGAGGGTGTATTGCCTGGCATAAATGGAGATGGTGTTCCATGGACATTTCCAATCATTGCGAAGCTCCCTAGACTTCCACTGGCAGGGTCAGAAAGAAACCCGATCGATGACGGGCCAGTACCCGTTGCTGTGTAGTCGATATACTGCCATGATTCGTCGTCGGGAAGAGACTCGAATTCGTGGGAAGACGAGGAGTTCGGTGACGGCCGGGAGTGGACGGAAGCCATCTTGGTAGTTTATATAAGACGAAATATATGTACTGTTCTTTTGATAGAAATAGCTTGGATTGTAGATATTGGTTGATTATATCCAGGTCTAAGAGGCGAGATGATAAGAAGAATAGTCCAGGCGATGAAATCGAATGTTTGTATAGTGAAACTCAGTCCGTAAATATGAGATTGGATACCAATCATTCACTCTTCGTATGTTGAGACCGTCAAATGTCGTGATTTTGGACGTTATTCAGTGAATCTTAGTTCTCCAAGCTGTGTAGTCGTAAGGCTCCAGTCCACTACCACATTCACTTTTGCAGCGCGGGAGAGAGCGCGAGATATAAGTCAAGAGAATCGCACTTTTACCAAAGCCAGACCGAAAGAAACAAACAAATAGAAAGAGGAATCAGAAAAGCCAAGTCGTCGGCTTCACTTTTCCCTCTCGGTCAACCTACTCGGACGTCTCAACACTTCCCACGCTAAACCCAAACAGCTACCGAAGCTTCGGTACTTCATATTCTATGTGACCTGCACTCAATTCTAAGTATCTCAAAGTGCAGGGTAAGGCTTATCGCAACCAGTCATTTATGCACATGCTCAGCTGCGCTATTCCCAAACAAGTACTCAGTCAAGTGATGGATTTGTATGTATTTTCGTAGATGGTGCATGTTCTTTGCTTATGGACTTCTCTGCAGCTGTCAGGTGGTCAGTAGAACGAGTCTATCATAGAGGTGCGAGCTGTCATTTGAGATCGTACAGCAGCAATGGTAGCATTATCGATCTGTGTCTGTGACTCTCCGATTGGTGTACGATTTCGTGCATCACAGCATGAAGGCCTCAAGCCCATTGTATGGTATTGGAGCCTCAATATCGGATGACTTGTGGTCTCGAAAGGTTTATCATACTTCAGTGATCTCGATAATGCCATTATTCACATGAAATTGCCATGTTGGTTCCGGATGAATCTGAAATGAAGTTCTGATATAGATTGGACACAACGCTTAGCTACCCTAGGACAACAAGATGAATCTTGAGCTAGTTACCGTGCTCAGGCTGTAATATACGCAGTAAAACACCTTCACTCATGGTGGGTTTCACTGAAACGGCCAAGAACAATGTGATATTATACGTGCCATATCGGTTCAACTTGTATTCGTAATACAATGCGGTCTCTGAAACCATCTCTCCATCATCTCATCACGAAGCGCCCGCCAGCCTCCAAAGGCCACGGTTGCCAGATTCCTAATCCTCACTAGGAACACACGCCCAATACATGCCCAACAATCAGCAGTGATAATAGAGTTGAGATGCCTGCTCCCGAGAGATCATCCTCATCACGGCCTTCACTCCCCAAATCGTAATCCTTGCCAACCCAACCGATGCCCAACACCACCACCTTCACATTCGTCACCCAACGCCACCAACGGATCAAACCGTTGAAATGACAGGCATGATATGCCATAAGCTCTTCGAATCAGCGTTGATAACTCAAACACACAGTGAATTCATCATCGTGAGTCCTGGCTGTATTGGAGTACTCTTCTTCAAATCGAGTTAAAAACGATAAGTATAAACCTGTGCTAGAAACAAAAAAGCACGAGAAAAAAAGCATTACTCGTTCATATGCGAAACATAATTCCAGAGAAAACAAAGTGCCATAAAATAAACTCCAACACGCTCAGACAATAGCCTCCCAACCAGAAAGACGGTTGCTGGGAAGGGCTGGTGCGAACCTGGCACGCCGGCCCCCTATAACCCCTAGAGAGCATCGCCCCTATATGATAAACATTATCGTTCACAATGTCAAATTGTGCTTGTGGCCCCAAACCCTTTTTTGCCTGGGCCACATCCCTGTTTCTGATTCGTGCCGTTGTCGTCACCGGCATCATGTCTCCTGTTCTGGGAGAGCATATAAACGTATATCATTAGAGTCAGTCGCTTTGAAGACTCGTGTGGTCAAGCTTGGATTCTTAAGCTCGGTACCGCGCTGCGGCACGATCCTGAATCTGCTTGTCTGTAGAAACGTATAGTCGGTCTAGGTAGTCCATAGCCGACGCATCCTTCAGGATCTTGGCCACCTGAATACCGGCCGAGATCAGCTGAAGGATGTTTCGGTCGTCCTTGAGAGGGCGACTCTGGTGCTTAGCGGCGTGCCTCATCTCGAGTGAGTTCTCGAGGATTGTGACAAACTGCTTGATCTGCCCATTGTAGAGCACTCGCGCTGGGATGCGTCGCTTCGTTGCGAGACGCTTGAGGAGATAAACCCACTCAGTCCATTCTCGATCCTGAGGTCGCTCAACAGGTCTCATGTCCTGGGTAAGAGGAATCGGGAACTGATACTTGGCAACGAAATCGTATGCGCATTGCGAAAGACGGTCATTGACCTGGCTCAGAACACTGTCCTGCTCCTGGACATGAAGGTTCGTAGGCAGGTGAGGAAGCTCGCGTTCCTGCATAGCAATGACATCGGGAGGTGGTCGCTGCAAGAATTGATGAGGACCGTCAAACTCGTCACGGTTCGACGGACGTCTTTGTGATCGACCTTTGCCAGATGATTTTGTCTTTCCTCCGGGAGCAGAGCTGCTCATCCCGTTTTCCAGGGAGTAGTCGGACAAGTTAGGCGATGCGATGATATCGTCCACCGAGTCGGTAGGTGAGTATCGATCATGGTTCTCCCAGGACTGAGAGGTGGCTCCTTTGTATGAGCCATGGACGACGGGCTTTCCGTATGATCCAGAAGGAGGACGGGCACCGTATGAGGGAGCAGCGGGATAGGCTGACTCGGGTCGCGACATATGGCCGCCAGTACCAATGGGCAGACCGCCAGCTAGGTTGTAGTTGCTAGCTGAGTAGTTGACACTTGAAGCGGCCGATGTTACTAATGAGTCCGAGCTGGTATTGTTCCGAGAAGTACCATACCTTTGTGATGAGTAAAAGCCATTGTCGAAACTGCCATGTACCGAGGGGTCGGTAAATGAACTACCGGTGAATTAGCCAACCACGATCCTTTCATACAGAGACGGTCAGCAGAGGGAGGAAGGAATGCTGTCTCACCTGCGAGTTGGATTCCAAGGACTGTTTGACATTGTTGAAGACTTGTAGGCATGATCTGGTTGCGCCATAGTGTACTGGCTCATCATTGTAAAAACCGCAAGTAAGTGTGAATTTTGACAAGACCTGACGAGACTTGCGGCTGATAAAGAAAGAATCCACCGGCGTAAAGAAGCAACAGATGGATCCACGTTCCCAAGTCCACGCCTTGGGTTCCAATTAAAAAAAGAGAACAAGACAGACTACCGGTAAACCGATGAATGGAGATGAACAGCGGACAGCTTGTACACTATGGGTCCCTTTGGGTCTTGGGGGTCCCTTGGGCAGTGAAAGATCCTGGGCCTGGGCTCTTTTTCTTCCAAAAGACAGGCTGGGCTGGGCTAACTCTCTTCTCCAGGGTCATCCACGATTGACTAGGGTTTCCTTTTTGATGGTGATGAAATTCCCTGGGTCCTGGGTCCTGGGTCCTCCTGCTGGGCTGGGCTGGCGGCTGTAGAATGTAACTTGTAGGCGGTGTGACCTGTGTGTCCTGTGGTCTGTGGTATGTGGTCCAGGCAGATGGATCAATCTGCAATGGCCGACTCTAGGAAGAGTAGGAGAAAAAGAAAAAAAAAGAAACTAGGTAAATTTCGCGGAATAATAGTGAAGAAGCACTAAGATAGTAGTGCAAGATCCTTGGAGGCGCTTCTGAGCGAACCAGTTGCAGGTGAAGCTGTTGGAGAAGCTGATCTGAACCGAACTGGTACAGAATCGAGAGAGAACCGGGAGGAGTGAAGCTCGGAATAGGGACGATTTATGTTCGCCCGTGAGGCTGCAAGGGATAGTCAGGTAAGGTACAGACAGAGACGGGGACGACGCATGTCATGAAGCGAAACCCTTGTCGTGAGAGGTGGATGGCGATGGAAAAAAAACCGATGCCCCATTCACTAGTCTAGTCGAGTTGAGTAGTGAGTAGCCTGTAGTGTAGTGCACTGTAGTGGGCAATGACAGGGACCAGGCGTGGAGCAAGTCAGTGATGAGATGGCCCAAATCCTTTTTCTGCTAAGATTTGCAGTAGAATTCGCCCCAGAATCGCAATCCTTTAATGTTTTGGAGGGTGTCAATCCGGCGCCTCGGAGGTTGGTTGGCGATGGTTGGTGTAGTTAGTTTGTACCTGAAGAGAGAGTCAATTTAATTAATATCGGCAAATTTCTTGACTTTTTGGATGGCGCAAGCAACCTAACTACCAAGCGAAGAGAACCCACGAGCAAACCCTGTCTCTGATCCAAAGCCAGGGTGGGTAAGCTTAATGATCGAGAGACGTTTGAAATGTTACCTCTTGTGTATCAATTTTAGTCGTAATCATTAGCAGTATCAGATATTCCACGACGATATTGTGTAGCCAAAAACCGAGGATAGAGTGGAGAGGTATCGTCAGTGGGAGTACTGAGACTGAGTGCCGGGTTACCCCAGAGTGCCTAAGAAAGTAAACGGAAAAGTCACTATCGCGGGGCACATTTCACTGCCTCGGCCTTGACAAATCGAGTGAGTGAGTGACCGAGTACATTGGGCGCTCAAGCATTGTTGCCCAAGCAAGCGAGGCGCGTTGGCATCCATCCATCGCTGGCTGACCTCATGAGAAAGTGACTGAGTGAGTGCTGTATGTATGAACAGGGTAGTACCTGGAACCGTTGAGAAGCGGTCAATCAATATCAACCAACGATGGGACTCGATAGACGGTTAGAGGCTAAGGTAACTAAAACGTCAAGGTCAGGCACCAAGGCGTGTTGTGTTGTCTTGCGTATGTAAGTGAACCCGACAGGGCTTCGATTGATGCCCACTGACCACCTCTATCTTGAATCACGGGACGGGAGCCCGAGTGACAATGGATGGTTGGGTTTGGTTTTTGAGTTTGTTTGGGCTCTGTTCCTTGTTTGATCAGGATACTGATAGCCATCCATAACTGAACCCCCACCAACTCATCAATTGACTGCCAGCAGACCACCCTCGGCAAGGCGGAATTGTCGAATCTGGGGGTTGATCGTTAATAGGGCGGTTGGTGATTGGGTCTGAGTTGTTAAATAGAGGAACGATACGAACAAAGGCTGACAACATTTAACAAACTGCGGTCATCATGGACCATCATCATCAGTCGCATCCATTACCTGGTTGTGATTCTTGGGTAAATGCCATCTCCTCGCTCAACGAGTTACCTTGAATGCTCTGTGTGTCTCCATCCTTTACATAGAACAAAGAGACCTCTTCGATTCGGAAATGGACGACACAATGGTCTGACGCTGATGCAAACAACCGGCAACGTCAATAGCTACTCCACCAGCCCTGTCGTGACCCTTGAAGCTCGTGGCATCTCTCGGCACCTGGTAACGGAACGAAG